ACCTGAAGCGAAGCTTGACGGCGAAAACCTCCGCCAGCCATAATAAACCACCGTCGCGGACTCACGCATAATTACACATACGCACCTGGGACCTTCTGGCTTCCCTCGTTCCGTGTGCTTCTGCCCGCCCGCCTGCACCTGGTTCGGCTTTCATAGGATAACGACATTCATTGACGATAACGACACACAAGACGTCACCTGTCTAGTGGTCGTCTAGTTATTTTACCACCCGCTCGCCCATCCTCGCCCGCTCATTATTGAGGCGTTGTCCTCACCACCTGATATCGGCTGTATTTTCAGCCATCCCCTCCTCCTCCAACGTCTTGTCGTCCCGCGCGAACGTATCGTGCAGCCACTTTCACCATGAATGACGATGATGCGATCCATAGCATCCACAAGAAGATCGAGCGCGAGAAGGCTCTCATCAACGCTGCCAATTCCATGAGAGCTCAGACCAACAATGAAGCCGTCAGATCTCGTCTCGACTCACAAATGCGAGATGGTCGTCGCAATCTGCAGTTCTTTGAGGAGAAGCTGCGCGACATCCAGATGCGACGTGTGAACTCTGGTGTTGGGGACATGTCCCTTGGAGGATCTTCTGACGACGCCGGCGGCCCTCCCGCACCACCTCCCAAGGATTCCCGAGAAGACAGAGGATCCGATCTCATGCCTCCCAGCCATCCTTATGCTCCAGGTCCTCCTGGTGCCACGGCTTTGCCGAAGCCACGTCAAAATTTCACCAAGTTAGGTGCGTCGTTGCTATGCCATCTCCATAGAAACTTCTCTGAGACTTTCCGTGTTTCCTGTACTGTACTGTGCTAACGTGAACGAAAACAGACCTGATCAAATATGATACACCGCATCTGGGACCCCGCATCCAGCTCATGCTGTCGCAGATTCAGTTCAAGCTCAACGTCGAAGAACAATATCTTAAGGGTATCGAAAAGATGGTTCAGCTTTACGGTATGGAGGGAGACCGCAAAAGTAAGGCTGACGCGGCTGCCCGAAAAGTCGAAAGCAAGCAGAAGATTATACTGTTGAAGCAGGCACTCAAGAGATATGAAGAACTGCACATCGATGCGGATGTTGCCGACGCCCAAGATGGTGAGTTGACACTGCAGCATTTCCTACTTTGACGACATGTTGACAAAAGAGCAGACGATTCTATCAACGCCCCTAATCTGAGGAAGCCCCTCAGCGGACAACTATCGATTCGTATGCTGGCTATAAAGGATGTCGACCACCTAGCAACTGGTAGGTTTACACGAGGGCCCGAGACCTTTATTGCCGTCAAGGTTGAGGATACTGTGATGGCTCGTACAAAGGCGACCAGGAACGATCGCTGGGAAGCCGAATACCATACCATCGAAGTTGATAAGGCCAACGAAATCGAGCTGACGGTTTACGATAAACCCGCTGAGCACGCCATGCCCATTGCTATGCTCTGGGTCCGAATCTCTGATATTGTCGAGGAAATGCGTCGTAAGAGGATCGAGGCTGAGATGAACAGTTCTGGATGGGTTTCGGCCGATAGAATGGGCAACACCGGTGGTGGCGCCCCTTCACAGTTCCCCATGAGCCCATCTTCAGGCTCTTTTGGGCCAGGCTCTCCAGCAGGTGGAGGCGCGCAAGGAACAGAGACCGGTCCATTCGGGACTGCTGGTCCCCAGCCTCAAGTGCAAACTGGACCAATCGAAGAATGGTTTAACCTGGAACCTACTGGGCAGATTCAACTGCAGTTGGCATTCAACAAGACTAACGCGAACAGCCGTCCCGTCGACCTCGGTCTTGGCCGAAAGGGAGCTGTTCGTCAACGCAAGGAAGAGGTTCACGAGATGTACGGACACAAGTTCGTACAACACCAGTTTTACAACATCATGCGTTGTGCGCTTTGCGGAGATTTCCTCAAGTACTCTGCAGGCATGCAGTGTGAGGATTGCAAGTACACTTGTCATACAAAGTGTTATTCCAGTGTGGTTACGAAGTGCATCAGCAAGAGTAACGCTGAGACCGATCCCGACGAGGAGAAGATCAACCATCGTATTCCGCACAGGTTCAATCCTTATTCCAACATGACAGCAAACTGGTGCTGCCACTGTGGTTACATTCTGCCTTTTGGCAAGAAGAACTGCAGAAAGTGCTCAGGTGTGTTTTCTTTGACTCTGTTTGTTGCATGGTGAAACTAATCCTTTATCTGTAGAATGCAATCTTACTGCACACGCCCAGTGTGTTCACCTTGTTCCTGACTTCTGTGGCATGTCAATGGCTGTTGCCAATCAGATATTGGACGGAATAAGGTCACAGAAGCAGAGACAGGCAAAGGTCTCTTCACTGACAGAAAAGACTCTCCGGCCAGGAAAATCGAGCCCTACCAGTACTCACTCCCCGGCCCCGTCCTACTCCAGCTCGTCCGCACCTCCTTATCAGCCAGGACCTGCCTCACCTGAGGCAACTGAGGCTGCTAAAGTTATGTACTCGAATCAGACAACACCACGACCTGGTCATCCCGACCGAACCTCGTCTAGCTCAACGGCTGCAGCGGCAGCCTCTGCCGCTATGTCCGGAGGGCCTGGAGGGGCCCAGAGGCAACAGTCTGATTACGGACGTTACAGTGGAGGGTATGACCAGCAACAAGAGGATCCATACGCTCAAGGGGGCCAATACGGCGCAGGTCAGCAGCGTAAGTACAACCCGGCTGACTATGCCAACGTCAACCCTAGCTACGGAGGACAACCGCCAGCTCAGGCCCAGCGACCAGTGCAACAGCAGCCAGCTGCACAACAGCCTCCTCCCCAGCAACCGCTGCCTCCTGTGCCACAACACCAGCCTCAGCAGCAGCAAGCTGGTTACCAACAACCACCACCACTAGCACACCCGCCCCAGTCACCGGAAGCGATGTCTCCTAAGCAGCCGTCTGCATCTGGTGGAAACAAGGCACCACTGCCTTTGGCCACAGACCCAGGTACAGGTCAACGGATCGGGCTTGATCATTTCAACTTCTTAGCTGTGCTGGGTAAGGGTAACTTCGGTAAGGTCATGCTTGCTGAAACAAAGCGATCTCGCAAGCTCTATGCTATCAAGGTGCTTAAGAAAGAGTTCATCATAGAGAATGACGAAGTAGAGAGCATCCGCTCTGAGAAGCGTGTGTTCCTGGTTGCCAACCGAGGTAGGCACCCATTCCTCACCAACCTGCACGCATGCTTCCAGACCGAGACCCGTGTGTACTTCGTCATGGAGTATGTTAGCGGTGGTGATCTGATGTTGCACATTCAGCGAGGCCAGTTCGGCACCAAGCGTGCCCAATTCTACGCTGCAGAGGTTTGCTTGGCACTCAAGTACTTCCACGAGAACGGTGTCATCTATCGTGATCTGAAACTTGACAACATTCTGCTGTCACTTGATGGTCATGTCAAGATTGGTGATTATGGTCTGTGCAAGGAGGATATGTGGTATGGTTCGACAACAAGTACCTTCTGTGGTACTCCCGAGTTTATGGCTCCCGAGGTATGCCTACAATGTCCAATCCCTCCTTTTTCTTTGTGCTGACTCTTTTTTCTTCCAGATTCTTCTCGACAAGAAGTACGGCCGTGCTGTTGATTGGTGGGCATTTGGTGTCCTGATCTACCAGATGCTTCTCCAACAATCGCCTTTCCGCGGAGAAGATGAGGATGAAATTTACGATGCCATTCTCGCGGATGAGCCACTTTATCCCATTCACATGCCCCGAGACTCAGTCTCTATTCTCCAGAAGCTGCTCACTCGTGAGCCTGACCAGCGACTCGGAAGCGGCCCAACTGATGCCCAGGAGGTGATGAGCCAGCCATTCTTCCGCAACATCAACTGGGACGACATCTACCACAAGAGAGTGCAGCCTCCTTTCATGCCTCAAATTAAGAGTGCTACTGATACTAGTAACTTCGACTCGGAGTTCACCAGTGTTACTCCCGTGTTGACCCCAGTCCAGTCTGGTAAGTTCTGCATCTTCCGAGTTCTTGATCTTTCACTAACAGTCACAAGTTCTCTCACAAGCCATGCAAGAAGAATTCCGAGGCTTCTCCTACACAGCTGATTTTGATTAAGCGACTGGACTAACAAGATTGACGATTTTGCAATATTTTATCGAGATGATGGAGCCGCGGTGGGGGGTTGTTGTCTTGTCTATCGGATACCCAGGGGCGATAGTGAAATAGGTGGCCGGACACCGCGGGCTGGTGATGTCAGTACAGTGAACCCAGGATGTGCGTCTTATCCAGGCGCCCTCTTCCCACGTTCGCCGGGTCGCTTATAGCGGTTGGCTTTCAGGATATTGGTGGTTGGGCGAGTAAAACATACGAGGGCATGATTAGTACCGTGCCATATTGAGATAGTGAAGCAAGCGACCTTAGCGGTAGATGAGTATCGTATGTATACAGCAGCATTGGAATGCATGTTAATTAATAGAAGTGAGAGAAGAGATGATCAAAAACGAGTTGGAGGCAGGCTATGGTTTTTGTTATATGTTACCCTGCACAATGGTGATTGATGGTGTGCTCTTTGACAAGCTCTAGATATCTACTGCTTCATGATTCGTTTTTACATTAGCACAGTTGCATTTGTAGGTATGCGGGGGCATTGACATATTTTAGATATTTTTTTGACCTATGCTTTGTTTATTCCATTTGTACCTCCGCCTCTTTCTAGATTTTCTCTATCGTTCTACGATGTGTACTCCTTCTGTAGAAGCTTGGCAATAGTGTTGAGTCTATAGCATATTAGTATTCGCTTTCAGATAGACTTATTAGACTGGAACTTACTGGATGTTGCTGGTACCCTCATAAATGGCACCGATCTTGCTGTCACGGAAGTACTTCTCAGCAAGACCTTCACGGACAAAGCCCATGCCACCCATCCACTCAATGGCGGAACTACTGACACGGCCAGCGACCTGAGAAGCGTAGAGCTTGGCCATGGCTGCATCCCTGACAAAGTCCTCACCAGCCTCCTTCTTGCGAGCAGCAGTGTAGACGAGGGCGCGAGCGGCAGTGATCTCGGTGTAGGCCTGGGCGAGCTGGTGCTGCATACCCTGGAACTCACCAACGAGAGAGCCGAACTGCTTGCGGTCGTTCCAGACGTAGCGAGCAGCGTTCTCGAAAGCACCGAGAGCCAGACCGGTCATCTGAGCAGCGATACCAATTCGTCCCTCGTTGAGAAGGGCAATGGCGTACTTGTAACCGTGGCCACGCTCACCGAGGAGGTTCTCCTTGGGGATCACAACATCGTCGAAGTTGATGACACATGTGCTTGAGGCGCGGATGCCGAGCTTCTTCTCCTTCTTGGCGATAGAGAAACCCTTGGTGCCCTTCTCGACAATGAAGGCGGTGATTCCCTTGTAGCCCTTGCTAGGGTCGAGGTTGGCGAAGACAATGAAGAACTCGGCCTCCTTGGAGTTTGTGATCCACATCTTGCTACCCGAGATCTTGAAGCCGTCGGCGGTCTCAGTGGCTCTTGTGGCCATGGCAAAAGCATCAGAACCAGAGACAGGCTCGGAGAGACAGAAAGAGGCGACGGTGTTTGTCGCAAGGCGAGGAAGCCACTTCTTCTTAATCGCAGTGGAGGCGTACTTGATAATAGCTGTGTTGCAGAGAGTGTTGTGCACATCAACCAGAACGGAAACGGAGGGGTCTGCACGGGCAAGCTCCTCAATGGCGATAATGGCGGAAGTGAAGTTCATGCCGGCACCTCCGTACTCCTCGGGGATCTCAATACCCATGAGACCCTGCTCGAACAGCTGCTCAACAACAGCGGGGTCCATCTCCTCGGCCTCGTCCATGTCACGCGCACGAGGAAGAATCACATCTGTAGAGAACTTGGAGACGGTGTCGGCCATGGCGGCCTCGATCTCAGAGAGGTGAGTGATGGGTGTAGGAGGGATCTCGGAAATGTCGATTTGATCATTGCGGCGGATGGATGTTGTAGATAGAGGGCGAGCAGTGCTGCTTAAGCGCAGAGTTAGCGATTGCTTCTGGTCATTCTCAAAATTGCACCCACAGGTTTATTCTCGTCAATGTCCGGGGAGCGGTGGCTCGTGTGGCAATGCGCTGTGTAAGACCTCGACCACCCTGAAGCGCAGGGCGCACGACACGAGTAAACGACGAAGACATGGTGAGATTCGCGGTGTTGAGGAGACGAGTGAGGAAGAGCGGTGACTATATCAGAGAAAGAATAGAGAAAGATGTAGGGAGCTGAAGTGGCTAGGTTAGATCGAGGCGTGAGGCGGGTATGTTAGATGTCTGACGATCACAAGCCAAAAGCGACAACCAACAAGACAAGCTCTTTGTATGGTATGAAACAAGAAGATGAAGGCGATAAGAGAACAACAAGGTCAAGATGTCAATTATTTTAGCCTCGGTATATACAAATCATCCATTGGCCCCCTGTAGTTACACGTCCTTCCCTTTATACGGCTGAAGCGGTTGAAGAATCTCGCTGTTCGGCCTAGACCAGCCGAGGATAACCACCGAGGTCGTGGATGTCTTCGGTTGTACAGCGGTAATGGATGGAACTTTGACTTGACTTTGTTTGACTTGGATCGATTTGGGGAAATCTGTTAGCCAATGCGGGATGGGAGATGGGGAGGATTGCGGGGTGGGAAAGGATGCACCGGCGATTAACCGCTGACGTCAAAGATCTAGGTGGGGCATGATAGATTGTGGCATGTGATCTGCTGATGCAGCCGGAGAAATAAAACATCCGAGAGATCACAACACGTGACACAGCTTCGAGAGGCTGAGATTTTGATATTGGCGGCATTGGATGAGCTTGGGATTGGGATAGCGAGAGGCCGAATACGGGATCAATTCGACCACTTCCCACGACAAGTCAACTCAATCCGACCATAGACGACTCGCCCAGCATGGTCGGCTCCATCCTCCGCCAGTTCTTCTCCCCGGCGACACGCCGTCCCCTCACCACAGCCCTCTCAACACCACCAAGCCGGCTGATCCAACCAACCCTCCGAACATTCACAACCTCAGCACCCCGCGCATTCGCTCCCACAACAGCTCGTCCAGCGACATTGAACCAGGTCCTCCGCGGTATTCGAAAGGGAAAGCGCGCACGTCACGCTGTCTCGCCTGCTCTGTCAAACACAAATTGTCCCGCTCTCAAAGGTGTCTGTCTACGTGTTGGTGTTGTCCGACCCAAGAAGCCCAACTCTGGTGAGCGAAAGACCGCTCGTGTAAAGCTTTCCACTGGAGCTGTTGTTACGGCGTATATCCCTGGCGAGGGACACAATATTCAGCAGCATAGTGTTGTGTTGGTACGAGGCGGACGTGCTCAGGATTGTCCTGGTGTGAGATACCATCTTGTTCGAGGAGCTCTAGATCTGGTATGTTTATCGCACTGGCCATAAATTGAAGTTCTGGCCGTATTTATACTAGATGCTAAGACACTAACTACTCCAGGGTGGTGTTGCGAGCCGAACAACAAGTCGAAGCAAGTACGGCACCAAGAAGCCAAAGAAGGCCACAGTTGGTTAAACAATTTTGCATACGGAAATCAAATGGACGAATTAGGTTAAAAGATGGCAAAGCGATGATACAAGACATGTGTCAAAACCAATAGACCTGGCTACAGCCATGTAATGATATTGTACACTATTCCGAGCATTCAATTCAAGAAAGCATTCAAACAATCCCAGAACATTCTTGATTCATACACTCTACATGATCAAAAGCTGTCCAAAGTGCTTCAAACCCAGACGCCTGTTGTTGGTTCCCGCAAGAACATCACCCAATGCCGACCCATTGTTTGCAGCCCAGAAATCATGCAGACAATCTACCGAGCATTACGACCTGTATGATACAACCCTATTCAACCCCTTGTTAATAATATTTTGTCTACTGCTGCTTCTCATAGCCCTTGGGCTTCTCCATGCCGTTGAGCTCGAAGAATCGAGAAGTGCCTGTTGCTTGGTTAGCGTATGATTCTGAAACAGTCTTCAACAAAATACTTACAAGAGTAACCCTTCCAGTCAAAGTTGTTATCGGGGTTGCAGTGGCAACGGAGATCCAGACGTCGCTGCTCGTCAGTGGGGCAGTGAGTGAAAGGAACGTGGTAATAGGCGATGTCCTCGAAGAAGTGAATCTGCTCCTTCTTAAGGAGAAGACCAGCAGCGATAGAGTGGACGGGAGCATCACCCCATCGCTCGTAGAAGAAACCACCGTCCTTATCGAGAGACTCAAAGAAATCGAGATAAGGCTTGCTGCGGAGCCAGGACAAGCTACCAACCTCAAAGTTGGACCACTAAACTCAATTAGTTGTGAAACCGGTGATAAGTAGATCTTAACTTACGAAATGGCACTTGTTGTAGTTCTCACCACCGTCATCACTGAGGAAGCGCATAGAGTTATCGGAAGAGATATGCTCGGGGTGGTTCTGCATGAACTTCTTGGTGCTAGCCCAGAGGGTAGGAATGGTGTCGATGTACTCGTAGAGGGAGAGAACGAAACTGTACTTCTTGTTGTTCTCGTGCATGACACGGAAGGGGTCGTAGTGGATGTCGCAGAAGAGCTTGACAGAGGGCTCAACACGCCAGTAGTACTCGTAGTTCATCATGAGTTCCTGTCGGAAGAAGAAACCAGACTCGAATCGGCACATGTGACGGTAGCTGATGGAATCACCATAGATAATCTTTCGCTCGTGCATATCCTCACGGACCTTGCGGGCCTTCTCCTGGTCAATCCACTCAGGGAAAGACCAGTGCTCCTCGGGGATCAGACCATAGTGAGTCTTACCAGAGCAGAGAGAGGTGGTGACCTTCTTGAACTGCTCATCGAAGGGCTTGTCGTTGAGGAAGACCCAGTCGTAGTTATATCGGCGGTTGAAACGATCCTCGACTTGTCGAATGGACTCGGCAATCTCCCAGACGTCCTGGTTTCGGGCAAGAGTAACGAATGTAGCGTTCATACGGGGACCGGGAGCAGTGCCCTGGAGGTTGCTCCAGCCAGGGTCGTTGGGGGACATAGCCAGAGGAGCCTCAACAAGCTGGCCAGAAGCAGGACCCTCCTTGGGAGTCTGAGGAGCAGGAACAGCGGGGGCATCGCCAGCAGCACCGGCACCCTCACCGGCGGGCTTCTGAGCAGGAGCATCGTCCTTGGTGAGGGCAGTGTCTCCCTCCTCAGCAACAGGTGCTTGCTGGCCGGGGAAGTTGACGTTGTTACCGGCATCAGGGGACTTGGGGATGGTGCCAGGAGCTTGCTGCTGCTGGCTGGGGCTTCCAGGACCGCCTGGGAAGTTACCGACACTGCCAGGAACGGGGATGGTATCGATCTTGGAATTGGAGAAGAAGTAGAACATAGTGAGCGTCTAAAGGAGTCGGGTTAGCAGGTGGCAACGTAAGCCATCATGAGCATCAAAACCCATGGGACACGAATGGATAAGGCGACGTACGAAAAGCGCGAGCGCAATGTAGCGCACGTAGCGCGTATGACCTGCAGCCATGGCGAAAAAAGAATTGACGATACGAAATCGTCAATACAAGAGGAGTTCAAATGAAGTGGGAGGTATGAACAAAAAACAAAGAAAAGAAGAAAGATGGATGATCCAAAGTCGATGTTTCGGTGGCAGCGCGCACGGGGAAAAAAGACACCTAGAGCACCTAGCAGCCCGCCTAGGCACTTACGTTAGTAGGGAGCCGGGGGACTGAGGGGCTCCAGTAAAAGGAACGGTCGGTAGGTGACCTTTGTGAACTAAAAAAAGATGGATAGGCGACCTCGTTAGTCCTCCACGGAGCGAAGAACAAAAGTCAATATCGTGAACCAGAAACAACAAGTATTAAGGAGAGAAAAGGAGATGGTTCACGATGATGGATGAGTATTCACGTATTGGGCATGTGCAGGAAAGTATCTACTTATTCTGATGCAAAAAAGACAGTTGGAATCAATGGCACGCAACAAGTTGCTGGAGAGCACTGGAATGAGATGAACAACGTGTTCTGGGGGAACAAGCCCAGCCCTTGATCGTCAATTCTAGGCAAAGTCAGGTACACACGGCGACTACCTTAGAGAGGCACAGCTTATCCTGATAAGAAGAGGGTGACTCGAGGTATCTTCGGCAGGGGCATGGATGTAAAATACCTGATTTCCAGCACTTGGCAGTACTAGAACGAAGTATTCGCCAAATGATGTGTACTTGGTATCCCCTGGCGTCTAGGGGGTGTATCCCGCCTGTTAGTGCATCTCAGCTTCGATTAATGGCTTCTGTGTCAAACTATTGCCGAGTCCAGACGCTTTTGGAGTGAGTTTAATGACATTGGTTCCAATTCAATAGGTAGCAAACTTTTTTCAGCTTATCCTCTCTCACCAAATCCGTTCAGAGAATGGTGGATTTTCGTTCGTTGTCAAGATTACGACGACATGCAGCAGGAGACTGATCTGTTTACAGGGATGCCCCAACCTTGGAAATCTCCATTGCCATCGACTTGATCCAGATATAAGAGCTCGTTTAGGCTTCGCCATGCGCCTCTTGCAGAATGTTTAGGAATGAGGGATCTGCAGTTACTCAAGCCTCATAATCGAGAAGGTTTCTCTGCAGCAAATCGAGGCCTGGATTGGGAAAAGTGGTACACGTCGAATGCATCACCAGTTTTTCTCGTATCGTTGAATGAGATGGAGGTGCCCCTTTTTTACGTTTCCTGGGCTTGTTTTAGGTTGGCAGCTTACAGCCCGGGAACCTTGCGTCAAAGGAACGGAATGCTGCAACCAGCCTGTAGCAGTTCCCGATTTCCCATCTTCTCTCCACTGTACGAGGTGACCAATTGTTTATTGTTGGTCTCTGAACCCGTCCGTTCGTTCCGTTTTTGTGGTCTGTTACTCCGTAGTTGACCTCTTCAACCTTGAATTGAGTCTCTGGGCTGAGATCCTTGATCATGGATCGATAACCTTATTCGGGCTCAAACTCATGTCCGCTCCGTATGTCTGATTGACAGATTGTGTATTCCCTTGAATGTTTCACCTAAGATCTGTGACTTTCTCATCAAGAGCCCTCCAAAGGTCAACAACGGCTGAACCACTCGCAACCTACAATATCAATAGAGTAGAATACCTAGATAGGCTTGGGCTTTATAGAACGATACAAGTCAATGTCAAATAAAAGCGTTACTGAAGTGATGGACGTGTATGCCTATCTTCCAACAAAGAGCTGAAAACATAATGCAGTGAAGGACCTTATTGCTGCAATATCAGGATGATATTTACATCCTTTTATATAGACAATATCCTTTTATGTCTTCATGAGTTTATATGCCCTAGTCTAAGCTCATAAATAGTGTACAAATCTTGTATGGCTTTTGGTGACTATTGTCGGGACTCGAAGAAACAATGGCATCACGTGATTATGCACGTGAATGCGTGTACCCTTCATCCAGCCGCATGTGGGGGAAGCGGGCTTGGAGAACAACGTTGGCACTTCGTCGCATCATCGTCGGCATCAGAGCTTCGCCGCGCGCATCAACATCGCAGCCCGCTCTCTCCCAAGCGGCTGTTCACCCTTTTCGCCTACAAAACTCATTGATAGAGTTTCTGAACACTTCTAGCAACCTTCTCATAGCCAACATAGCGCTATATTCGCATGCTTGGCCACGATACAAACATCTTGAACCTATTTTACTGGAAGACATCATGATAGATTTGTGCGCGCTGAACGATCCTGAACATATCTCATTCTCTTAGTGGTGAGTGGACTTACTCCAGCCGTTTCTTTCCTACCCTGCTCGCTTCCCCCGGCCTGGTCATTGCTGGATATATATGTCCGGGACTGGAAACCCTTCGACGCCCGTGGACCGGAGGACGAATTCTGTGTTGCACAAGCTTCCTTCAATGCGAACCCTTCCAGGCTGGCTCAGACATTAGAAACTCGTCTTCTTTTCCGTGTCGGTGGTGATATGCGCCACATGATGGACAGTGCAACAGAGTCAAGCAGCTTCGACCACGACAGGACCATGCAAGAAAAGGACCCAGAAAAGAGAGCAATATGAAATATAGAAAGCCCCGCCATCGCAGTCATCACGAACACTCTATTGGTGACCCAAATACTTAGGATAAGAAGCTTGAAATCTGGTCCAGGGAGGTCATGGGTCGTTTCCTGAGGATACCTCGAGCGGGGCACGGAGCTCAAAGCGACTATAGTTGACTGGCGTTTGTACTAATTTCTTTCATAGTACAATCGACGTCCACTTGCCCAAATTCTTTCAAAATGTCCTTCTTCGGTTTCGACACCACGCGCCATAACACGGCTGCGCCTGGCTTCTCCCATTCTCACGATCCATTTGCTGGTTTATCAGGCAGGGATGGTGATGATGATGCTCTAGATTTCGAGGAGACTTATGACGGTCTTGGAGACCAGCTCGAAGAGACTGGAGACGCTTTCAACGACGACACTTTCGGTGACAGTGGCCCGGCAGTCTCTCGCAGTGCTGGCAAGGATTTCGACTTCTTTGGCCAGACTGCCAAGGTTGCGAATGCCATTGATGAGGAGCATCTTCGCTACAACCGCCAGGGGCCTGCGACTAAACCCGCTGCTTCTGCTCAGGCGCATTCTTCCGTCAACCAATATGCCTCGGCCGACTACCAGTCTTACTACTCTAACCAGCCTTACCAGCAACAGTCTTATCAACAGCCTGTGCGATCTGGTTACGAGAAGTACCGCGAACCCGAAGCGCTCCCTGATCTCCATGTTGACCGAAGCATCTGGGGCATTGGGCCGTCTAAGCCAGCCCAGCAAGCATCGCCTGCTCCTGTTCCCGCAGCTCAGCCGGCCCAACATGCGCCCAGTCGCAAAGTCATGAGCTTGGAAGAGGTCGAGGCCGCCATGCGATCTCAGCCCAAGCAGCAGACACCTCAGCCACATGCCGCAGATCTTTCCTATCAACAGCCGCCTCCGGGGTTTACTGCTCATCAGCAACAGCCTCCTCAGGCCCATGGTCATGGCCACCCAGTGACTATCCTGCAGAGGCCTCAAAGCACTCAATCGAAGCCCACGCCGCCAGCCCCGGGTCTTCAAGCCACTCCTATTCAGCATCAGCAGCAGCTCCATGCCAACCCGACTCAGATTCTGCAGAATCCCAACCGCGCCGGCCCAGATGCGCATGTTCCACCTCAGCATGGACACCACTCCAAGCAGTCCCACGGTGCCATCCCTAATGCCGCGCAGTTACAAGCTCATCCCCAAATGCAGCAGATGTCCGAGGAAGAGAAGGCCGCCTATCTGGATCAAGAGACCAAGAGAGCTAAGCGAAACCACAAGATCTGGCTTCTGTCAAAGGACAACGGTTTGATGACTCCCCAGGACAAGAATTTCATCACCCGTATCCAGCTCCAGCAGCTTGTTTCCGCTACCGGTAACCCTGTTGAAGGATCTGATGCCTCAATTGCCGAAGACTTCTACTACCAGGTCTACAGCCATATTCGAGCCGGTCAGCGTCAAAACCCCAGCCAGCCTCTGAGCAACTTCGCCCAGACATACCTGTACCAGACTGGTAGTCGTCAGGGTGGTATGCGTCGCCATGGACGTCCCGCTGAGAATCACTTCCAACGAATGGAGCAGCAGGTACAGCGTGCTGTCGAAGCTGCCAAGAATAAGCCCAAGAACCCTCAGCTGGTCATCGCAGGCAGTCTGGGAAAGATCTCCTTCAGCAACGCGAAGACCCCTAAACCTCTCCTCAGCATCAAGCGTACCGAGAGTGAGCATCAGCGCCCCAACAATGGTAAGAAGGGATCCAGCCTTGATCGGAAGACTATCCTTCGAAACGTTGAGAAGGTTTATCAGACCCTGATGCAAATCGAGGACCATGTTCGACTTATCCCACCCCCTATGACCGGCCCCGATGAGGAGCTCGAGAACAAGCACAAGGAGTGGGCTACTATTCTCGAGACCTACAACGCCAAGCTCTGGCAAGAGCTTAAGGTCCATGAGCAGATTGGAGTTGTTGTTCCTCATCCATTCATCGCTTTCTTGTCTTGTGCCAAGGGTGAGAAGGCCATTCCTCGTCTTTTCCCTCATCTCTCTTTTGAACAACGAACTACTATCTTGACCATGATTATCTATCATCTCGACCAATTGGATGTCGTCCAGGGCGCTGCCATTACACCGGGCGAGGTGACAACCATCAACGCACGAATGCGAGAGAAGATTGAACTTTTCATCTCTACTGTCATGCCATCACTGATGCAATATTTCAACGATACTGGCCTGGATATTGTTGATGGAGTTTTGAATCTGATTGCCACCAAGCTCAACGTTGATCTCATTGCTAGATCAAGAATTGGTGTGTCCATGTTGACACTTATTCTCAGTCGTGCCGTGCTTCTCAAACAGACAGGTGCCGGCACTCCTGAGCAGTGGGATAACTGGTATGTAAATTCTGGACCATGAATCACAACTTTAGCTAACAAGCATCAGGGATCGAACATTTGAGATCTTGTTCAGTAGACTCGAACCTTCGCTGCCTTACATTTTCCCTGGTAGCGTCAACACTGGAGAGGATGTCTATGTATGGCAGCTTCTTGCAGCTATGGGTGTCAGCGCCACTCACGATCAGCAAACTCGTCTGGTCCTTGCTGTCAAGGACCGTGTGCTCGACACTGTCACTGTTTCGAAGACACTCCCTCCTGCTATGGGAGCGGAGCGACTGAACAGTGTCAACTTGTTCATGCGATCCATTGGTTTGGATGTCGAGCTTCTCCAGTAAACATTTGTTTTATGAGCATGCATACAGGCTATTGTCGGTGATTCTTGGGCTTTTTTTCTTGGGTTGGCATATAAGAGCGCTCAAGACGACCGGGATATGCAGGATGCGACACAACACAACAAACAGGGTTTACATGCTGGCGAAAATATTATTGGGAGCGGTTCAGCGTATAGGCATACTGGGTGTACAAAATTCCTCACCCCTGATATGGCGAGTGCTTAGCGCTTTCATGTATACCGGCATTACAGTCGGGTGATCATCACTAACTCATGGAGAGAGTTTGGGAGGACTCTTGTCCATTGAGGAAATAGGTTATATCGTATTTGCAAATTTTACGCGTGTTTGGCAAAACTTTTCTATACGGTGACCTTTGAATTCTTTATATAAAGTTGATAGATCCTTTGCGCCGTCCCATGCAACCTATTTAGTCCCCTGAGTTTATTTCTAGCACCATATTTTCACTCTTCATCCATCAACGTTGGCCGTCTTTGAAGCTGTAGCTCGAGGTCTGCCTCCCCGTCGAGGAACGGTTCCCGCCGCTCCACCTCGTGGTCGAAGCTTGGGCTTTCGTGCCTCGTCCGCCCCTGGCGCAGGTTGCTCTGGCTGCTTGGCGGGGGCAATTGGCTTGGGATCTTCTTTGATAGGTTCTGGTGTCGGCTGTGGCTTCTTTATGCCACTAACAGCTTCAAGAAGCTCGTCATCATCCCATCGACAGGCGAACTTTGGCACAGACTCCTCAAGGGGTGTCTCATTGTCTTCCGCACCGTCGGCTTTCTCTGCTTCCTCTGCGGCCTCCTCTTGAGTAGGGCGCAGGAAGAGGCTTTCGTTATAAACCTCCCAGGCAGCCTCCTCATTCTCATCAGTGTAGTGCATAGTTCGCCAATGCTCTGTCTGCACAGCTCGTAGACGATCAGCCATAGTTTCGGTGGTGACGGTATCACCATCGCCAGTAGCCTTGACAGTCATGTGAATTGCGCGAGCTGTACCGGCTGCAGTGCTGGGAGCTGACTCCTTAGTAGCTGCATCTTGGCGTGCTTGTTGGACGGTTGCGTCGATGTGATGAAGTTGTGGGCGTAGGTGGACAAGTGATGACACAGGCGTGAGATGTAAGTCCTCTGGCGATGGGTTAGAAGATATATGGGCTCAAGACCAATGCGACTTACTGCCTTGAAAGACGCCGACCATATGCTGAACTTCCTTATACTCAGGATACTGGCCACCAAGGGTCTGTGTCCGGAGCACTTTATCCTGCCTAACAGCCTCTGCCCAATCCATGTTCTCCTGTTCATCCTCGGCCTTTTTCCTGCCACCTCGAGCCTGGACCGTACCAAAGCCAAAACCACCAGCCAAGCCATGGCTGCCACCATTCTTCGTTGCCATGGAAGCATGTAATGTCTTTCCCCATTTTTGTCCCTTCTCGCGATCATAGGCGACTGTGTTGTCGAGGGGAACATCGACTTCAACCATACCAGCTTGAGCCTTCACGCGCAATTCGGTTGGTGGAGGTCGTGGAGAGTCATCGGTTCGGTTTGGGTGTTGGAGAACAAGAAGACGGCGGCCTAAGGGTAGAGAGGGGTTGATAAAGACGTTGTATGTTGCGGTGACGGGGTCATCATCGTCGTCGTCGTCGTCTATCGTGGTGGGATTGTTAATTGTGGTGGGCTTGACGCCCGAGTCGACATCCATATCATCGATGTCCATTGAGGCCGTAGGAGCCGGTGTATTCGACGTTGTAGACATGGTATGAGATTTTCTGTATAGAAACAGAGATCTTCTGTAGAAATTGCCAGCCAATAACCTGACTAGGCCTTATTATTCGCTGATCGGTATGGGTGACTCTACGTCGCTCTCCAGGTTCGCTTTGCGACAACCACAATGCGCAGCTATTTCTAGGATGCGTTTGGCTTGTATGTCGATACTGGGTATATATACGGATTCTGTACTAGTATCTTAAGCTTCGGCGTTTTTGCGACAGGGCTTCGATCTAAAGTAAGTCAGCTTGAAGGTTGCAAGTCCAAGGGAAGCCAACGATGGGAGCGGCGGTTGTAGAGAAAATTCCATGTTCGTCCCCCGCCAAAGTTTAGACCGTTATCTTATCAGTAACAACAATTCGAGAGTCCAACCAAAAGATGAAAGTCATTCAGTCATGTCCCAATTATAACACTTAGGGAGCTGACTTGATTCAATAGAGATTTAATCTTATATGGAAGATGTATTTACTGCATTTGGAATGTTTTTCCAGCAGAGCAGCCTATTTGCATTGATAACTTCTCTACACGCAACCCAAATTTTGAACTCCATTGAATCCAGCAGGCAATATCGCCATGAAACAATATCCGTAGATCGTTTCGTTTCTGAACAACCCAGAAGCCAGAAAACATATCGATTAACATCAAACAGTCTATCGACCTTTTCCACGGTCGCGGCGTCCACCCTCCAATACCTTGACTCTCTTGTTGAATCTGTCTCCAATACCACCTCCCATACCGCTTCCTCGAGGTCCATCCGTTGTGTCGATTCCACGCTTTCGGCTCTTGTCCAGAAGAGCACGAACGTTTCCACCTGATTGCTTGCGCTTGGTAAGGCGATCGATACGGTCGACACCCTGTCCCAGATCGTGCCAATCCTCGCCACCAAACTGCATGCGGTTGCTGCGACCAGCCTGCTTCGCCTTTTGAGCTCGGTCCTTCTTGCTCTCCTTGGGAAGACGTGTGAAGTTCATTTCCTCGTAATCTCGGCGCTCTGCCTCCTCCTTTCGCTCGGCATCGGTCTTCATCTTGCGACCACCCTGGACAATTGTGGTACCAATACTAGGCTCTGCCAAAGGTGCGCTGGATAGCTCTGAGGCAACAAATTCCTCCATGGTGTGAGACTTGCCAGCGCGACGATCGTGCTTCTCGCGTCGTTGAGGCGCATCCATTGTGGCTCGGTCTCTCTTGGGTGGGCGGTATACACCCGCAGCTCCTCCATCGCGCTCCGCCCGGCGAGCGGTAACATCATCAGCCATAGCACCAAAGTTGCCTGGCTTGTGAGACAGGGCCTCAGCATCTGCCTCCTCCTCTGAGTCTTCCTCATCCTCGGAATCTGATCCAGCTGCAGCCTTGGCTTCCTTTGCCTGCCTCTCGCGCTCTGCATCGTCCGCTGTTCGGAGGAATCGATCAATAGAGAAGCGCAACTTCTCTTCCAGTGGTCGGGCTCCCCTTTCCAAGTAGAGTCGTAGCTCAACCAGCTTTGCCCTCACAGATTCATCTAGTTCGGATTCATCTTCAGCCTTATCCGAGTTTGATTTCGAGTTGCGCAACTTTAGTAGAATCAAGAAGACGAGGTTTTGTAGGTATGACAGTAGAAGCTCATTCTTCACATCGAGAAGTGAAATGCCATCCTTCTGGTGCTCGATAGTTGCGAGTTTTGGTGTGACTTCGAGTGCTGATGACAGCGACTGTGTTAGCGACGTCAACAGTGCTGGTAGTGTTGTAGGTGCTGCCATGTTGATCCGTTTGCCTGAGACTTGAAATCTCTAGACAATTGAAAACTCATGTCTCGTCGAAAAGTTTGGAGTACTTTCAACTTTTTAGCGGGGCATGTCAAGAAGGGTAAGGGCATATATGGTGTGTGTATATTAGGGAGGAATCTAAGCTAGCTAGGGCCTTTAGGGCAGGCTACTAAAAGGGATATGGGGGCCTCAGGCACCATCATCTCAACAGGGCATTCTTGGCCTGTCTCCACATTCCTGCCTCGACAGCCACAAACGCCACAAATCCCCTGTTTCAGTGCGTGGCTCATTCTCCCTGACTCAGCTAATATCTCCATGACAGATTACAGCAAGTGCCTCGAAGCTCCCTGTTTGACGATTTACTCTCGCAGCTGTTTCGCTGGCTTGATTCACCACACGATCCTTTATATCATTGACCGGACGATACAAGAGGCAGAAACTGAGTGAAATTCTCAGTGATTACTTGAATTTTAATTTTACTTCCTCATCAACTCGAAATTGCGGGTCGCGCAAGTCGTCGTCAGCTGGAGCTTTTGATCGACAGCTTCACATCTCGGCTTTCGCAATCCTCCTTTGTTCACTTTCGGTCTGCGCATGATCTAATTTTCCAATATGCATTTCCGAGACTTTGCGCCTCGTACGGCGCTCGTCAGCTCATTGCTAGCTATACCACAGCTAGCTTCTGCTTTCTACCTCCCCGGCGTCGCCCCTACTACCTACAAAGAGGGAGATAAGGTTCCGCTTTACGTGAATAGCATCAAGCCTGTCGACCGCTCCCAAGACCCGCGACTACACGCCGTTGTCTCATACGACTACTACCACCCTGCGTTCCAATTCTGCCAACCTGAAGGCGGCCCTCAATATGTTTCGGAAAGTCTGGGTAGTATTCTCTTCGGAGACCGTATCATGACTTCTCCCTTTGAGCTTATCATGGGCAAGAACGAGACCTGCAAACCTCTTTGCGAAGTCAAATACAGTGAGAAATCGGTTCAATTTGTCAAAAGCCGCATCGAACAGGGATACAGTCTGGAATGGCTTGTGGATGGATTGCCAGCTGGACAGGAAGTTCTCGATCAGTTGACTGGCACTACCTTTTATAACCCCCGATTCTTGCTCGGCCAGGATGATAAGGACGACAACATCCTGTTCAACAACCACTACGAAATCGCCGTCGAGTATCATGAAGTGAACAAGGACCCCAACCAGCGCCGTGTCGTTGGTGTAGTTGTGCAGCCAAGTTCAAAGGAGTATGGCGGCAAGGCTGATTGTGCCAACCACCCACCCATCGTTTTATCCGGAGGCGAGCAGCATGTTACTTTCAGCTACAGCGTCATCTGGCGCAAGTCCGACACTGCCTGGGCCACTCGATGGGACAAGTACTTGCACGTGTTTGATCCCAAGATTCACTGGTTCTGGCTTATCGATACTGCCATCATTGTCGTCATTCTTGTTCTCACTGTCATGTCCATTTTGGTCCGCGCTCTCAAGAAAGATATTGCTCGTTATAACAGACTCGACCAGATCGACCTCGACGACTTTGGCGGTACTTCGGTTGTTGAGGATGGTGTTCAGGAAGACTCTGGCTGGAAACTGGTCCATGGCGATGTCTTCCGAACCCCTTCGCGTCCCCTTCTGCTCTCGGTCCTGGCTGGCAATGGTGTTCAGCTCTTCTGCATGACGGGATGCACCATTCTCTTTGCTCTTCTTGGATTCTTGTCTCCTTCAAACCGTGGATCTCTTGGAACTATCATGATTCTCATGTATACTGTCCTCGGCTTCGTTGGTGGTTATGTCTCTGCTCGAACTTACAAGGCATGGCAGGGTGAGAGCTGGAAGTTGAACATTGCTTTGACCCCAACCTTGGTCCCCGGCATCGTCTTCTCCAGCTTCTTCCTCCTGAACCTTTTCCTTTGGGCCAAGCAGTCATCAGGGGCGGTTCCTTTCACCACCATGCTTGTGATTGTTGCTATCTGGTTCATTATCTCGATTCCTCTCTCCTTTGGTGGCTCTTGGGTTGGATTCCGCTCTCCTCAGTTCCAGCCGCCTGTCCGCACCAACCAGATTCCACGACAGATTCCTCCTGTGAGCACTTATCTTAAGCCTGTGCCCAGCGTGCTCATTGTCGGTCTACTTCCCTTCGGTGCCATCTTTGTCGAGCTCTTCTTCATCATGAACTCGATCTGGTTCAGCAGGATCTACTACATGTTTGGGTTCCTGTTCCTCTGCTACGGCCTCATGATTGTTGTCTGCGCTGCTGTCACTATCCTTATGGTGTACTTCCTGCTATGTGCTGAGAACTACAACTGGCAGTGGAGATCTTTCCTCGCTGCTGGTATGAGTGGTGGCTATATCTTCTTGAATTGTCTTTTGTACCTTGTTACAAAGGTCAGGGCGAGTGGATTGGCCGGTATTGTGCTCTACATGGGCTACAGTGCCATCATTTCATTCCTCTTCTTCATTCTTACTGGTAAGTTATTTATAAACCCTCCTTTAGGATGCCATTCTAACCCTTACAGGCTCCATCGGCTACTTTGCCAGTTGGTGGTTCGTTCGCAAGATCTACTCGTCCATCAAGATTGATTAAGAGACGGCCTTGCACCAATAATGACGGATGGATCATCAACGACAAGTGACGAATGAACAAGAGACGGAATTTTGGTGTTTGTAAAATACATGTACGACCAGCGTCTGGAATTCGCGTTTACCATGAGCTGTGCTTTAAGCTGCAAACAAGGGCCAGATCGGCAAGATCATGGTGATAATGGTCCGTGGTGTTGCATCAGTACGCTGCGAGTACGGAGTAGATTCATTTTCATTTAGACGGATATCAAAATCAGGCCAGTGCCAACAGAGCAGGGCCGTGTTGGCTATTGATGAGGAGGTGTTGTTCTGCATTGTTTTTAAGCTCATTATAGATATCAAAAATTCCTTGGCTTATTTCCTCTTGCTCAATCGTCGTCGTCATCGTCATCCAAATCATCCAGATTAGTAAACTGAAACTGGGCCTTTTGCTGCGGAGGTCCAGTTGGGCTCCTTTGTTCGCCAGGGGCTGCTGGACCACCAACCAAACTTGCGCGTCTCCAGGCCTCTTGATCCTTTTCTCGCTGGCGTTCTCTCTCGATGCGCTGGCGCTCGCGTTCCTCGCGTTGCTTCTTCTCGCGCTCTTCCTCGGCAATGCGGTCCTCTTCTTCCTTCTGCTTTCTCTCCTCTTCCTCGCGACGCTTGCGCTCTTCTTCCTCGGCTGGATCATAGCCCTTGGGGTCAATGCCCTGCTCCTGGAGGAGCTGGTTAGCAGCGAGGGAGCCAGCGCCAAGCTGCAGGTCGTTGGGCCAAGGGAGGAAAATCTGGTCGGTCAAGGGGTTCAAGAACTGCGTCCACTCGCTGGGTAGGACGGTATTGGCGGACATAGAGGACTGTTGAGTCGCAGCAGGTTCCTGAGAGACGGCTGGCGTGCCATTCATAATTGCCGGGCTTTGAACCTGAGACGATGGAGGGGCAGATGGTGTCATGACTGAAGCTGCTTGCGACTCGGGGCCTGGAGTCTGTGCTGCTGGTGTTTGGCCGCCTGGGGTTTGAACTTCTGGGACATCTGGTGTCGGCGGTACGGCTTTAATGGTGCCTGCTGGCGGCATAGTAGTTTTGCTGATACGTCGGGCATAATTGAGCAGTTCTTCATAGGCGATGGGATAGCTTGGGCCAGAAGGAAATGTGGTGGTTTGCGTCGTCACGATATCCTTGCGAGTAGTCGCTAGATTCGAAAGAGTGTCGCGGATCTGCGTATCAAGGGCGTTTGAAGACTCGCGCAGTTGTTGGATACGTAGATAATTGTTCTGATGAGTTTGGACTGAGAAGTAAATTAGCCAAAACATTCATGGCTGGCTCAGTCGTACGAATTACCTTCTTCCAAGCCTCTGCTTAGTTCTTGGTCCGCTAAATTGAGCTCCTCTCCTTGTTGTATAGAGGGATGGTATTTTGTGACTGAATCAATGAGGTTCGCGAGAGCCTTCTCTAGTCGCTCAAAGCGACCATCGATATATTTGTCCATCGCAAGATCGTGGTTGATCGCGGGGACCTTTCTAGTATCAAGTGATATGAAAGTAAATAAAAGAAAGGATCAAAGGCAAGGCTGCTATGCTATAGCAGACGGAAGCTTGAAAGTCAAAGTGGGTCTTTAGTCGGTGTTGTCATTGGTCGGCCACTTCAAAGCTTCTTTTAGGCCTGAGGCCAAACAAGCCCGATCTTTCCCGTTCGGCAAACTCGCGCAACCAAGTTCAAGGCCCTTCTTTTACGACGACGACATCGACGAGCAATTGAACGACGAAACAGGCTTCCACCGCCCTAAGATTCAAGATGGTCTCCTACGTACGTCCGACCCCTTCGATACGACCGCCGAGAACGAGCTACAGATATTCACGAATGGCTCGAGGCGTCTTTAACGAAGAGTGCAATCGACTGACCTGATTCTCACCAGACTCCCATCCGCATGTCGGAATTCAAGAGCAACTATGGTCCTAAGTACGTTATATCAGTCTACGATCACCGAACGTCGAATTCGAAGCGCACTGTCTAGGCACAAGCGAACTCCAACTCTCGAAATTCGACGCAAGGGTTCACATGAAATAGTGACGTTGGCTAATACTCTGGAATAGGTACCATCCTCAACCCAACGTTGCTGGCATCACCCCCGAGGCTGCCTTCCGAATGTAAGTGCACGATTCTAAACCGAGAATACGATCGAGAACCGACTATACAAACGATTCGAACTTCGATCTCCCTTCCGTTTCTCCGAAGTCTTGCAATGATCAACCGCGGCTGAGATGGACATGACGGATGAGAGATTGGGATTTGATTACGAACTTTGCTGGATGGCCGATCGTTATGCTGTGGATGGGAACTGACTGGGTTATAGTGGCTCCCGTCTGGCCATGTACGGTGCTCCCGCCGCTGTTGCTGTCCTCCTCTTCGCCAACGGTATTCCCCGTGTGCAGCGCGACGTTCTCCAGGTACGAACGAACATCTTTCGATACTATTCGACACATGATATTAATTCCTATACAGAAGATCCCTTTCCTTGGCAACTACTTCCGAAAGGAGATCCACCCCGCCGACAACGTAAGTCTGGATTATGATACGAAGCATTGTGGTCAGTTACTAATAGTCTGTATAGCCTTTCTAAATTATCTGGTGGACTTGAGGAAGATAGACGTTGTTCAGCGCCCGTGCCGGCTCTCATTGTATAAGATATTCCAATAGACATGTTATGAGCCTTGAATTTTGCTGTGAAATGTACGCCCTGTGATTGGCTGATGTTTAAGTACTTTAACTTGTAGCCAGAGACATGCCTGGCAGTTTGTGGAAGTCCTCTTTAAAATAATAAAACTTACAACGGCATGGAAAGTATAGAACGGTTCTCAAACGACGATGTTGTAGTCTATCATACCTTTTGGCTGTCATATGTTGCTTTGGGCTATTTTGGTTTGTTGATATGATGTTCCACTCATTAAAGTACAGTGCCACTAACTCACTGCGAAACACTGTTCTCTCTCCTACATGTACAACTTGCCCGTCTTATACAACTTCAAGCTGACTTTCGCCATTCATTTATCCTTCATATTTCTTAATTACTAACTCTCTTGAAGAAAGCCTTTAGCTTCTTCAAGTCATGAGAGGATTCTGATCCTTCCAACACGGTCTCTTTCGCCCTCAGCTAACTGCTGGTGAACACTTGTCATGATGGAGATATCTCAAGGATACAAGACAGTAGCAGCTTTCATCATTGCGCTACCTCTTTTTGCCTGGCGATTTAAGAACTCTTCAGGTCCTAACTCGCGCTTAGAGGGTTTCTTCTTTTATTTTCTCTCTGTCGCCTCTGTCACTTGGTTGTATGTTGTCTCAGCACTGGTCCCTGAGCCTTACCTGGTACGCCTCATGTTGTATCGTACTCATTGCACAGATGCTAACTCAAGTAGGATGAAGTATTCCATATACCGCAGGCGCAGAAATACTGTCAGGGGAGATTCCAAGAGTGGGATGACAAGATTACGACACCACCAGGGCTGTAAATTTCACGCGCTTCTACACCCCTAAGCAAATGCTGAGCCTAGTACAGTTACCTTCTTTCTCTTATAACACCTGGAGTTGTGCGTCCTAGTAGTTCAGTGAGTGGATACTTTTGCGATGTCAAGAGTCTACGAGCTACCAACGTCGTTGTCCTGGTGATACTCGCCATCTTGGTCCTGAAGTGCCGTCGAGAGATCGAGGCACGTCTCTATGAAGCTCATACCTCGACTCGGCTACGCAATACTTCACAATATGCAGTTCACACCGCGCTTAACGTCGCGCTATTTCCGCTTCTCTTCTTCTTCTCTGGACTTTACTACACCGATGTTGCATCTACTGCAGCCGTGCTGGTCGCGTACTTGAACCACTTGCAGCGCATTGGTCGAGATCGTAGTTCTGCTCTGAACGATCTAACAACAATCCTCCTTGGAATTGTCACACTTTTCTTTCGTCAGACCAATGTCTTCTGGGTAGTTGTGTATATGGGTGGCCTCGAAGCTGTCCATGCTGTCAAGACCTTGCGGCCAGAACAGGGTGATCAGCCAGTTATCTTGACGCTTTTTGAGCAGATCAAGTATTTTGCCTGGAGGTATTCTCTCGGAGATGTTCATGACCCCCCACTACACATGATGTGGCCAGACGGTAAACCGACTCTTCCCTACAGCTTAACTTGTCACTAACTAAGATCAGACATGCTCTTCTGTGTATTGAGTCTGGGAATCGCAGCAATTTGCAACCCAATCCGCATCATTAGACAAATATGGCCTTACGTTGCTGTTCTTGCCTCATTTGGTGGCTTCGTAGCCTGGAACGGCGGTGTTGTCCTTGGTAAGTACTCTCTTTGCATAGTGTCGAGTCTATGGCTAACGACAAAAAGGTGACAAATCCAACCATGTTGCTACTATCCACCTCCCACAGATGCTCTACATATGGCCTTTCTTTGCTTTCTTCTCTCTACCACTTCTGGTACCGTATGCCCTACCCATCGTTAACATGGTACTGCGAATGCTGCCGCGGGCTCGATCGCCTACATCAACTAGCAAGCCAGCCCCCGAGGCAAAGACCAGTGCAAAGCCGACCTCATTTTCCTTTGGCAAGTCAGGAAGGTCGGGAAGCTCTAAGAAGGACTCAGCGACTGGCAGCTCGGACAGAAAATACCCACGACTTTCGAAGCCACTGGAAATCGCCAGCTTCATATTCGGGGTTAAGCTTATACTCTGGCCCCTCTACCTCCTTGCGACCATAGTGCTCTCACTTGCCATCGTTCGCTACAACACCATTATCCACCCCTTTACTCTGGCTGATAACCGCCATTACATGTTCTACATCTTTAGATATACCATCAGACGGGCTTCTTGGATTCGATATGCTTTGGTTGTCCCCTATACCTTGTCTCGGTGGATGACGTGGGGTACCATTGCTGGCTGCTCACGATTCTTCACTCTTCACATGCGCGCCTGTTCTGTTTATGGGAATGGAACAGAAAACCCTCCCTTCTTGAGTCATCCTATGGTGACTAACGTTGGATTTTCGCCAAGACAAACTTATGCCGCCTTTCCAGCTGAGATAACGGAGAATTCTCAGGACACTTCCAAACATCAAGAGCTGAGCAGGGCTTTGGATGATGACCCTCTTCTTGCTTCCATTATACCAGCTTCAACATCGACTGGACTCATATTCTTGCTTGCCACGACTTTATCACTCATGACGGCCCCGCTAGTAGAGCCACGATACTTTATCATACCCTGGGTGATGTGGAGGCTCCTTGTACCTGCGTGGAGGCTTCATGATCATGGTTATTACGGTGGTGTTACTTCCAGACTCTCAAATTACCCAAAGATCAGGCCTTTGTTTGAATTCTTTCAACACTACGATCTACGTCTTATCATTGAGACGTTTTGGTTCATCGCCATCAATGCTGCAACAGGTTACATCTTCCTCACCAAACCTTACATATGGAAGGCGGAAGATGGGACTGTGCTGGACGACGGTCGACTTCAAAGATTTATGTGGTAAACACACAAGACGGGGGGAATATGAGCGGTGTGGTTGCAAAAGATAGTCTTTTTGTAATTTTGTCTTGATAAGCATTTGGCCCTCTTATCGCTGGGAACTCATTTCATGCCAGATGTGAAATATACCCAAACACTGAACGCCATACCCATGGTCCAGCCCCAGACCAAACCAGACCAGACCTGTTTGTAGCCCCAACCATACCCAGTTTCATATCGAGCATCCCAAATTCATGCAAAAGTCAAGTTCGTGCGTTTGTACCAGAGCGGTTTATCATGCATGCAATGAGTGATGCATGGACATATCTTTCCTGCCCCGTCCAGTAGTCGTAAAAAGTCTCATAAAAATAATCATGCGCCAGATTATAAGCTTAGACGATCCAAACTTAAGCCATCATTGCTTCTCACCCGGCGGATAACGCCAAGCTTGAAAAACTTCTCTTCACCGCCCGGTGTGCGTCCACCGATGTACCACTTGTCGGCGCCTATCACATCACGGAAGCCTTCACTGCTGCTATCACTTCCACGTCGACCAGATGATCCAGGAATAGGAATGGCGGTGTTGTTGGCGGGGGATGTTGAGGTTGACGGTGATGAAGTGGTGTTTCGGGGCGGACGGATGGCGACACTAGAAGTGGTTGGTTGTTGTTGAGACTGATGATGATGATGTGACGTAGAAGCAGCAGTGGTGGTTGTGTTTGCTACAGTTGCTGTGGCAGTTGTGGTCGTCGTTGTATCTCGGGTGTGCTTGTTTGGCTGATGTTGATGGGGAGCGGTAGTAGAGATGGAGGGGCCTTGAGGACGGAAGGCGGCGAGGAAAGAAGAGAGGAAATACGGTCGTTGTGAAGGCATCGTGAGGGTGTCGACCTGATGTGTTGTGATGTGCTTTGGTGTGATGGAGAGAGGTTGGCCGTAGAGGTTGACGGAGTAGCCGAGCGACGGTCCGAGCAAAGCCGAGTTGGTTTTGTTCGTGATGATGTCGGAATACGCGCAGTTGAAAGAAACCAGTGTCTTATTATCTGAGTTGCTTGTGTTTTGTGATCGCCCGTCGTAGTAATGACTCAATTGTTTGTCGGTGGAAATGGGATGAAGAAGTGGAGTCGAGATGTGAAGAAGAAACAGTGACAGCGACAGTGAGTGACAGTCTGGGGAAGAGCAACGGTTTATCGTAGTCACTGACGTCGATTTTTTGTGGAGGAAAAGAAACGAGGGAGGGGAAAACCCGGAACCAGCAAATGCTAATGGCAGGGATGTCATAGGTCAGGCCTCTTCATTTAAAGTGTGTTGCACGTGCGGTAGCCCAATCAGAGCAGACCAGACCCTGCTGTATTTTAGAGGGTGTTAGGGGGGTAGGGGGCACTGTAGAGGATGGCTCGGTTGGGCTTGCACTAGTTGAAGTTGAAATGCGGAGGTGGTTTGAGAGTCTAGGGTGAGGATCTGATCTCATTGGGTATATAAGTTGAAGAGAGGGTTGATGGCTTGGTAGAGGTGTGATACTGGCAGTTATTTTGTGAACAAGAGGTTTAGGGATCAGCTAGTTACTGTATAAACAGTATGTCGACTATACTGTTGTGAATATCATGATGTTAGTAGCTACCAAAGTCAGTGAAGTGGCAGTTGACTGAAGACACTGAAGATATCCCTTCGTCCGTCTTACTATACACACAACCGTTAAATGTCACCTCTATTCAGACCCCAATTCACAAAAAGCAAACAGAAACGAAAAAAAGGGTCATTGTAAGCGAGATCCTTCAGCGTCCAAGGCCTGCCTAGACCTTTCCATGCACGTTTGGGCATGCAGCATCACAACTCGTCTTGTCTAGCTCTCGAAGATCACTTCCACTTTCAAAGCTAGGCGACACTAGTCAAGACAGTGATAACCCTGTTTTCAACCACCATTTTATCAATCATCGCGATGAGTATTGAGATTGATACAATGCCCTTGACTGTCCTGAACAAAGACTCGTTCTCGTTCTCGTTTCTGTATATGTGGTTCATGTCCGTATTGTTCCCGTGTTAAAGCAGCACGCACTCTTTTCATCTCCGGACTCCCGGGTCAAAGGGCCTCCTTGTGACAGCTGAAATGTGAATGCATATATGCGAGCATGATCTGATAATATCTGACAATGCAACTGCAGCAAACACATGGTGATCACTAAGTTAGTCTCTGGGGTCGGGAGTGGTGAGTAAAGGGCATCATCCGTTTGGTCGATCGGATTATCTGCAATAACAGTCGGATTATTGCAGCAATTGACAAGTAAGATCAATTTATACAGTAGAGACAGGTTCAAGCTTGTAAAAGAATATGTACGATTCCCTAACAATTCATGATGTTAGTCTGCCTCGGCTTGGGGGCCATGATATCTGACTACCTACCTTACCCTAGATTGTAGAGATAGACTGAAATTTTAGACTACACCATCGTCTTATAAGCCAACTCGTACTGCAAATAACCCAACTGACCACAAAAATACTTGACCATGCTGTGTAACAACACTGCACTATTCGTTGAGATGCCTGTCCCCTCAACAACTTGCGCCATACCTTACTATAGCGGTGTAGACCATAGACCATAGACCGTGGACCTAGACCCCTCACCACCAACCACCCATGACTGTTCGTACCCATATTCCCCTCCACAGAAAAAACCCGCCAGCGCATAATGACAACTGGCTATAGTTGCAGCCGTAGACCTTGAACATCCATTGTCTACTGCATGCAGTCTTTGCATACTGGTATTCCCACTCTCGTGATACCCTCATAAAACTCCATCTCACTCAGCAATGCCCAGCTTCAAAGCCCGCATCCTCAGCTGGATCATCTGGTGGTGGTTCAAGAGCACATGGAGTTCAGCAGAGGGCATCAACAACCGCATCGCCAAGGAGCGTCTTCGTCCCGAGCGTGTACCTCCCAAGCACCTCTACAAGGAGTTCGCTGTTGAGGAGTACAAGAGAAAGGGCCACATCGCGAATTATGTCGTTTACATAGTCTCTCCAAAGACAGAGACGCCGACTCGTGGTCGAATCTTGTATCTCCATGGCGGTGGCTTCGTCTTTGATATCACGCCCCAGCATTGGGAGCTGGTGGCTCAGCTTGCGAGGCGTCTGAATGCTACTGTTACCGTACCGATATACCCGCTTGGCCCTGAGACGTCGCTTATGAAGATGTATGAGTTCGTGCAGCCGCTCCACGACGAACTCGCATCGGCACCAGATCGGACGCCGTTTTGGATTGTGGGTGATTCAGCTGGAGGGACCATGGCTCTTGTCCTCACGCAGAATGCCAAGTTGGCTGGTAGACAGACCGCGCAGAGAATTGTGCCCATCACGCCTTGCACTGATTCCAGTCTTGTCAACCCTGAACTCCACAATGCAGCGCTCAAGGATCCATGGCTGGACGTCCCTGGCATCGCCGAGATCACAAGACTCATCTGTCCAGAGATGAATACTCAGCATCCCAATGTTAGTCCCATATACGGAGATCTGAGACTACCGCCGATGTTGGTGTTTGCAGGTGGCTTGGATCTCCTGACGCCTGATACCAAGAAGATGGTCGAGATGGCCAAGGAGCAGGGTACAAAGGTCGAGCTGGTGTATGGAGAGGGCATGATACACGTTTGGCCCATTCTACCAATTCAAGAGGGCAGGCAAGCCGTGGACAAGATGGTCGAATGGTTGGGAATCAGTTGATTGTTTATTTGGGTGGATTGTCTTGGGCTACGGCGTTGGGTTTGGGGGTTTGAATGGCATGAGGATACCCCTTGAAAAATGTGATGATGATGACGACTACTACTATATATGAGGACCATATGTTTATGATTGGAATGAGATGGGATGGGCTAGGATACAGCATACTTTCATATGTCCATTATGTTCAGACGACTTATGGCTACGAGATCAGACGTGGCCGAACAAATGTATATAAAAACACTCACATACGTCAATCAATTTTATTATGTCTATCTGCATGGTGAGAATATTCATCTTGATGATTTTGCAAGATATCGTGTAGTACAGACGGATAGCAACTCGGCTTCCAAGTTCCTATCCATGTGTATAAAAGGCGGTGGCTCAAGGACCCCATCAGAGGGAACACAAGATCTTATAGCCCGGGATGACATGAAGTCGAGGTAGACTATTAGGAGAGTACATGCGTAGTCAGCATTGATATGGCTGTGTTTGCCGTTCTTCCGCTGCAATACACAGGGTTTCTCATTTATAGTATCAACTCAAAGACTCAGCAGCTTATGTGCACATTGATTGGCTGACCTTGGCAATTGAGGCTTCACATGTCAAACAAGGAACCTGGATGATTATGATGAAACGATTACTAAGACATGTCGACTCGTATAATTGATCACTTTGAGATCCATGTCATCTGCACGAACAATGAGTGACGTTCCGGATATTACTCAAACGTTCATATAAAACAGAACCCCATGAAACGACGAACAACACCAACACCGACGAGTCGATACAAACACTCTTCGAAAAGTCGGTAAGGCTATCATGTTACACAACCAACGGGAAAAATGTAAGTGGCTTATCTTGTGTGACATGCCACGGAAAGATCTGTAAGACGAACTGCAAGGCTGAGCAGAATATTTTATGAATCGACCACTGTCGTGAGTCGAAGCAAGCCATGTTTGGAGATCTTCAGGCCCAAGGTATCATCGCTTGAGCGCCACCACTCGCTACAGCGCAGATGATCTCGGTTATCTGTAGAGTCTAATAGATTAGACTAGGTTGTTGACGTTTGTTTAATCCATGTCTCTTCAACATCTGAAAAGCAAGGTCCCAATTGCATCGGCAAACTGCATCGTCCCAAAAGGGTATTCATCCAGCGTCCATTCGTTCCGAGAAACCTTCAAATCTGCTCGGAAATTGCCACGCACGGCAGCAGACTCGAGTGACAGCGGACGGAATAGACTATAGATAAGGTATCGTTGCATGTTCTCCGAATTGGTAGAGTGATCAGCCTGTTTTCTATTTTCAACGTAGTATTCGCTATATCTGCATCGACAACAAAGCTTCGGCCCCCATCTCCCCCCAAGGCCATACATATCACGCCTTGGGACTGGCATAGGCTGTGCCACAACTCTCTATACAGAAACGCCAGATGTTCGATGCTCGATTCCATGTTCGGGGCCTTGATCTCGCCCGTACCCGTAGACGTCAACTCAATGCAACATGTTCCGTCCATGTTCGCCAGCCGTTGTCCCCGTCTGCCACTGGTTGCCACCCGCCAGGTGCGTGGACAGTGGACACTGAATGAATGACAGACCTGCCAGTGCGATAATTAGCAGCAATATATATCGATATCCTGGCCTGCGTCATGGCTTTGTAATTCTCCATTCTCCATTCTCCTCACAATCCCATTCTTCCTGCTCTTTGAAAGATACGATACCTATCTGATCTTCTTATCCCTCCTCATATTTTGGTTATTTCCACTCACCTCGCGCCCAACAATCTCGCTCGAGTACGACCGACTCGTTCTATTTTTCGACCAAGATGACGTCTTTGCTCTCCTTGGTGCCATCCCTTTCAATGGGATTGGTCATTTTGGGTATGCTCGTCATGGGTATCATCGCCTTCAACGTCTTTGTATACCCCTTCTATGTATCCCCTCTTCGACATCTCCCCGGACCAAAAGTAAGTAAAGCCCCCAATTCGTTTTTCGTATAATGTTGCTAACGTTGTTAATAGGATAATACCTTCTTTCTTGGACAGACTGCAAAGTTCCTTCAGGTGCCTTGGTTCCCTGAACTCCTTTGCAAGTGGTCTCGCGAATTCCCCGACGCCCCCTTCATTCGATACCTGAACTTTGCCAACGGTGAGACACTGTTTGTTAACAGTATCGAGGCATACAAGCAGGTTCTTCAGACCAAGAGCTCGTACTTTGTGAAGCCTGCCTTTGCGAAGCAGTTCGCGCACGAATTCATCGGCGATGGACTCCCCTTTGTTGAAGGCAAGCTTCACAAGCTCCGTCGAGCAGCCATCAGTCGTAAGTACAACCAACCCTGACCCCAATTGAGGCCAATGTTAACCTCTTTCTTAGAACCATTCTCGGCTGCTCGACTCAGAACCTTCTCCCCTGTTGTTCAGCAAAAGGCTGAACAACTGAGCGATGTACTGACCCAGCATCGCAACGAACACGGTAATGTTGAGAGTAAGTAACCCCCTTCCCCTTTTTTTGTGCGACTGAGCTAACAATCTTATAGTCGAGAGCAATATTTGGAAGGCAGTCCTCGACGTGATTGGACTCGAAACGTTTGGCCTTGATCTTAACCACCTCGAATCCGACGAGTCTCCGCTGTTTGACACCTTCACCACGATGATGCAGCCCTCCACGTTTGGCCATGTTATCAACTACTTGAACTCGCTAACCCCGATTCGACAGTATGTACCCATGAAGGAATGCATTGAGTTTTCTCAGAGCTGTGCCCGAGTCCGGGAGTTCATTGTAGGTTTGATGACGATCCGACGTAACCAGTACGAACAAGGCCTTGTTAGCCCCGAAAAGAACCGAGACGCCCTCCAGTGTTTGTTGGAACATTCCGACCCTGATTGGAACGACAAGAGCGTCGTTGAATATGTAAGTCACCCCCTGAATTCTGAGTGTTGCGGATTGTGCTAACAGTTGTAATAGGTTTTGAATCTTTTGATCCTTGGACATGACACGACAGCTTGTTCCATCACCTGGGCCGTTCACGAGCTGTCACGCCGACCGGATTGCCAGCAGCGTCTGCGAGATGAGATCGCAGGCATGGACAGCACTTGCGACATGCCTGGCTTCAGCGATATCGACAAGCTCCCGTATCTGCACAACTTTGTGCGCGAAGTTCTGCGACTCTACTGCGCAGGTAAGTGACCCATCTCCCATCCCCTGATACTAAGATTCATTAGCTAACATGTATATAGTGGCCATGGCACCTCGCCAAGCGACCGACGACGTCGAAATCGACGGGATTATGATCCCCAAGGGAGCCGTGATTCAACTCTCGCCCGCGGTGATGAACATGCACCCTCTGGTCTGGGGCCAAGACGCGCAGGAGTTCAACCCTGATCGCTGGAACGATCTCACAGGCGACGCGACGAGCGCATACGCCTTTGAGACGTTTCACAACGGCCCGCGAATGTGCATTGGCAAGCAGCTCTCTTTCATGGAGATGAAGATCATGCTTGTAGAGATGGTGCGCAAGTTCAAGATTGAGAAACCTCTTGGAGACGAAGACAAGCAGGTTGAAGTTGCTGGACCGGCTTTTACACTGCGACCAAAGGAGAATTTGGTAGTGCGTTTGGTGGCGATGTAAGAAAGAAGAGAGCATCAGTTGGCTACCTTAGGCTGTTTTGTTTTGTTTTGTTTTGTTTTTGCTGACATATTATACGGAGTTTGGGGAGTTTTAGGATACCACTACACGACATGGTCGACAGGACACGACATGATATGACATCCATGATATCCATTGCATTTAGATATTGGAGGAGCATTTAGAATCAGGTGACTTGGAGACAAGAGTCACGATAGATTTGTGCATGTAGATTTTGAGCAATAAATGCATTTTTGATTTTTTATATGAATGAACCTATGTTCATCATGACTTGTCTGTCTCATGATGAAGAGTCTATTGACAATAATCACCCCCCGCAATTTTCTAGGCCCGCCTGTTTCTCGAACTTTCCAGGGAACACGCGCTTAGAAATCCAATCAAAGGCTCTATCAAACCCTCCCACAATCAAGGGTCCTTTGCTCTTCTCTCCTCTAAACTTGAGTGTACCCAAGTCAAGTCAAGTTACGTGTGTCATTGTGGCTCGCTCGCTGTTTCCAGTAAACTACTCCCTCCACTGCTTCTTGTCTTTCTAGAGTGAACAGCTTGGTTCCCGTCATTTTCCGCCCACTTCACACTGCGACTTCTCTTGATTTTGTTATGTTTTGCTCTGCTGCGCAGTTTATTCTCCTCTTCTTTCTTTGCCATCATCATAATATCAGCCAGCGAGCACCTCTATAGATACCGGGTTCTCTTGTCCGAGCATCCGGAATACAGTAACGAATCTTCTATTACGGCATTAATTACTGGGTGTCCAGTCTTACCACATCTCACTCCCTCTCGCCCTGGGCCCAGTCTCACGCACTGCACTTGATTCAACATGTCTAAGGCGCAACAGCTCAAGGATGAAGGGAACAGCCGTTTCAAGGCCGGGGACTACTTGGGCGCCGATAGTCTCTACTCCAAAGCGTGAGCACATAGAATCAGCACAGCACAACTTGTGTGTGTGAGAGAGAGCTTATTCTGACAAACATCGCAATAGCATCATCGCCGACCCCAAAAACCCACTGCTCTATACTAATCGCGCCATGGCCCGTCTTAAGCTTGAGTTATGGGACTCAGTGGTCGCCGACTGCGAAGCTTGTGTGCAGCTAGCGCCTAACAACATGAAGGCCCGGTACTACCTTGCGCAAGCACAGATCGCTCTTCGTGATTATGACGCTGCGGTCAAGAGCGCTCTGCATGCGCACAAGCTGTGCGTTGAAACGGGAGACCGTTCACTCGCTGCTGTGACGGATCTAGTTCTTCGCTGCAAGAAAGAGCGCTGGGATGATCTCGAGAAAAAGCGTGTTCGCGAATCGCGGGATCTTGAAAGGGAGATGCTTGAATTATTGGCCAAGGACAAAGAGGCTATGCTCGCAG